GGGAGGATACACTGACCGTAACTTCTGAATTTAAAAATATTGTTCTATTTTAGTGCTTTTTAAGATCCAACTCAGTTCTCCAAATCATATCCACTGTTTCTAAATTAATGTCGTTTCAACGTTATTTGTCTTATGTTCGGTATATTTGTCATTATTTTTGCTTTTTTCAAGTTCATTTTAAGACCTACTTTTCCGAAGCTTTAAAGAGTTGCGTCATCATGGTCTGTAGTTCTTCGAAACTTGTAGCGAATATTACAATGTCATAAGCGTATCTCAGTTTTCTTCCATTAACATCTATTCCATTATCTGCCCAGTTAATGTCTTTGAACAAGTCTTCCAGTCCAAGTGTAAATAGCTTTGGTGAGAACATCTCAATGGCGAACTCATCTGTTGATTGGTATAGCTTTAGTTTTCGGATCTATTTGTAATTTCATTGTAGCTTTCTTGTAAATATTATTCCTTTTGTTCTTCTATGTCTTCGTGATCTAATTCTATTATTTCTTTTATTATTCGATCGTTACAACCTCCCCACTGAGCTGATACACAGTTATTGCCTTATAATTAGAGCATTTTCGTTTATCTCCTTTCTTGAATATTGATTGATGATCCAACATTCCAATATCAGGGATATTATGTCCTTTTAAGCATTTTTTGAATAGTTGAACCAACATCTCATGTAATATTTTTGGTCCATACTTTTCCAACTCTATTAGGATGTCTCCATCCGCTCTTTTTTTTAGCTTTTGAGGTCATCGCTTAACCCTCCGGTTGTTATCTCAATTATTTGTCTATGTTCGGATACTTCTCTCCATTTCGATCTCTTGTAATTTACATCTATTCTCTGTCAGTAAGACCTCATAATGGTGTTTCCACCGTTTTAGTTCTATTAACTGTAAATTAGATTTTTTCTTTTCTTCCCTCCGGAGAGACTTTATCACCTTCCATGCTTGCCAACTCTTGTTCCACCCATATACCTATCTACCTGTGCACATCTTCTATCCCACATCTCATTTTTACTTTTCACTACTTCTCTTTTTACATCTTGATTTAATTTTTTAATATGTTGTAATCTTTCTCCTTTTTCGTTGACATTCATTTCTGACAAGCAGTTTTTTTTCTTGTTTACTAATGTTTGCATATTCTCCGCCCACCATTCTTGATTTTTTTGTTTTTATACCCCAAAGCTTCACTTGCAGCCTCATGAATGAATTTTTTTAAGTTGCTGGTATAATTCTTCCGCTGATATATTTTCTCAATCCACATTTTGTAATTTTGTTGTCGTAATTTGTCAAGAAATTTCGTTGAATCTTCTTTTAAGTTTTCTAGGTTATATTTAGTATAGTCAGCAGGGAAGGACCTTTTACATCCGACCTACACAGACTGCCCCATCTAAATGTTAGAATGAATAGATGGATGAGTAGGTGTGTCTAGATAAAAGTAAGGAATGCCTGGAGTTGAATGAGACTAAGTATAGATAAAGGGGTGGATGAGAAAGAGTGAATAGATGAAGGTATGAACGACTGGAGTTATTCGTAACTGCCGACTGACATCTTAGGGTTGGTTTCATCATGGGTTGGGAAGCGTCCCGACCGCCCTCTTTCCCGTCCTCGGTCACTTCGCTGTGCGGGGAAGGCGTCCGTGAAGCTGACCAATCCATGGAATTCACGCTGGGGGTGTTAGGGGGAGCTATGAGTAAGGTCGACGGGTCAGACAAGAGCGGTTCCAGACCCGCCGGCTGGAGGAAGAGGAGGTGAGTTTAGTCGGTATAAAAGGTTATATTTAGGGGATGTTACTTCTTGTCCCTTTTCTATATTATGTACCTGAGTGTTTTTGATTTTGCGATAGTTAACTATCACGTTGGCCATAAGTAAACGATGGTCGGATCCACATTCTGATCGACTGTATACCCTTACGTCAGTTGTTTTCAGCTGGGAAGTTTGACGTTGGATTACATAGTCAATTATCGACCGCAGATTCCTAGTAGGTTGTATCTATGTAAATTTGTAGATGTCTCTATATTGAAAAAAAGCCATTCATAATTTTGAGAGATATTGTTTCACAAAAATCTTTAAGACGCATTCCGTTGTCATTGGTTATTTGTTCCCCATATCTTCCTACGACTCTGTTTACGACTGCCGTTTAAATCTCCTAGTATAAAGATTTTACAGTTTTTTTTAACTTCAGAGAGTATTTCATTCATCTTGTTGAAAAATCGTCTTTAATTTCTGGATTTGGATTCTTATTTGGGACATACACTCTGACAATTACGATGTTGTGACCATTCTTTTTCATTTCTAGTATTTGCAGTTGTTTATTTACTTAAGTCCACGATTTTATATTATTTTTAAGATGTTTCGAATAGCAATAGAGACTCCTTTCTTAGCTCCGTTGTATTTACTCACTTCACTGTAGATATGTATCTTCTTCTTCTTTGGGTGCCGTGTCCGTATTCAGACGTTGGCCGTCATCATGTTTACAATTTCCTGAAACCTTTCTCTGTCGGCTGCTGCGCGAAATAATTCTTCTATTGTGAAACCACACCATTGTCTAATATTCCGCAGCCATGAAAGTTTCTTTCGACCAATCCATCTCTTTCCTTCCACTTTTCCTTGTATTATAAGGCGAAGTAAATGGTATTTGGGTCCTCTAATTATATGGCCGAAGTATTCTGTTTTTCTCCTCTTTATGGTGTTTATGAGCAGACGTTCTGAGTTGATCATTTGAAGAACATCTTCATTGGAAGTGTGCGAAACTCACGATATCTTTAGGATTCGTCTATAGCACCACATTTCGAATGCTTCTAACTTGTCTAGCATTGTGGTTTTTAACGTCCATGTCTTACAACCATACAATAGGATCGACCACACATAACATTTCAGGACCTTCTTACGAATGTTCATTGACAGGTTTCTGTTGCATAAAACTGGTTTCCAGGTCATAAAAGCCTTACGTGATATTTCGATCCTGGATATTATCTCTTCATCAGAGTCACAATTTACATTTAAACAGCTGCCAAGGTATTTGAAATTATTTATTCTTTCTATCTCTTCTCCATTAAGAGAAAGCAGACCTTGATCTATATGGATCTTTCCAACTGCCATCCACTTTGTCTTTGAAATGTTGATTTTTAGGCCTCTCCGATAACTTGCTTCACTGACTAGATTTAGTAATGTTTGGAGATCTTGTAAACTTTCTGCAAGAATGGCTGTATCGTCAGCGTATCTAATATTGTTGATTACTTCTCCACCTAGTCTTACTCCCTCTTGTCTGTCATCCAAAGCCTCCCTAAAGATTTCTTCAGAGTACAGATTAAAAAGAGTGGGTGACAAAACACAACCCTGCCGTACTCCACGTTTGATGGGTATTTTTTCAGTGTGACTGTCTCCAATTTGGATAGAGGCTACTTGATTGTAATATAAGTATTTCAGCAGTCTTATATCATAGTGGTCAAGTCCTGCTGTCCGTAGGCAGTCGAAAAGTGTATTGTGTTGGACTCTGTCGAACGCCTTCTCGAAGTCGATGAAATAAACATAAACATTCTTTCGGAATTCACAACTTTTTTGTAATAGAACGCGAATACAGAATAGTGCCTCTCTAGTTCCTAGACCGTTTCTAAATCCAAATTGCTTATCACCCATCTTACTTTCGCATAGAAAGAATACTCGATTTTGTATAATTCGTAAGAGTATCTTCAGTGTGTGACTCATCAAACTGATTAGTCTAAAATCGCTGCATTTGGTGGGCCTGCTTTTCTTTGGCAATGTTATAAACAGTGATTCTAACCAATCATCTGGTATTTTTCCTTCGTTGTAAATTTTGTTGAAGAAAGTGGTTAAGCAGGCAATGCTTTCCTCATCCAAAAGTTTAAGTAGATAGATAGATATGTATATATTCTTCTATCTCTGCATTTCCTTTTTCCTTTTTCTTAGGCTTGGTGAGAATGCATATCTATTTTTCTTTCCGGTAATTCTTTGAATACTTCTGCTTGTTTGATTGCAAGTCTTTGTACATTCCATGTAGCCAATATCATTTTCCTTTTCCGTTCGTCTTTGTTTTGATCCATCCTTTGTAGTCCGAGGCTTTTGGTCAAAATTTTTTAGCATGTATTTCTTTTGACAAGGGATGACTTGCTAGCCCATCGCCTCAACCCTCCTTTATCCGGGCTTGGAAGCGACACCGGCATTTACTGAGCTACTTAATCCAACCAAGAATTTACTGGTGGCGGAGTTTGTTTAATTTATTTATATATTTAATATTGAGTTCATTCAAGAGTTTCAGCTTAGAACTTATTGGCACCCATTTTGTTTTCCAGTTTAGCTGTGTTCCGTGTTTCTTTTTTTTTTGGTGTTTGTTTGTTTTTCTTTGTCAAACTTTTTTGTAATCTAATTATTATCTATCGGTTATCTATCTATCTTTAATCTGTACTTTTTTATTATTTTTATCCTTACCCATCTCAAATGAAGCACTTGAATTGAGCAACGTAGTCCTTCATGAGTATTAGCGGACGAGAAGCTTTTTATCATCTTTCCGCTTTTGTTAACTTTTTCGGCACAAGATATCGAGATATATTACCTAATATACTCTTTATGACATAAGGTAATATCTTGATGATAAATTAAAAATCAATTGGTTAAAAATAGAAGAATATATTACAAAAATATATATTTATTAAAAACTATCTTACAAAATGATACTACTATAACCTTTGTTACAATGTTGAGTTCTACATAATATCTTTTATATTTAGGTATATAATGAAAAATCGTATAATAAACAATCGCAATAAAATACTGCAGTATCATCATTTTCCTTTATATTAGACACAGAAAGGAATTTACCTTAGGATTACATGTTTTAAACTAAATTGGAAATTATACAATCTTCATGAGTTCAATCAATATAAAAAATATTTGTACTGTTGATAATTGATATAAAATAAATAAAATTACATAGGGCAAATGTAGGAGGCGAACACAATCTTGAATTACAATAATATTTGTTTAATGTCCATAAGCAACTGATTCTTGTCCGCTTTTGTGCACAACTGCACGGAAGCCGTGGTGAGGGTCGGAAGTATATTCCACAGTACGAAGGCTGCCATCGGCATCGACAAGTGAATATTGTCCTTTGACCACATCTCCGTCTCTAACTTCATACTGGTTCTTTGTATCTCCGGTGTTAGGGTCTTCGATTCCATATTTGAATTCGTATTTAGGTGGGTCCTACAAGTTAAAATAATTAGTAAAATTAATAAGACTAGAACTGATTAGAGTAAGTATACAGGGTGTCCCATAATTAATTGGACATTAGCTAATGGGTGATAGCTGATAACAAAATAAAGCGTTTGGGTTCAAATTGCTCAGGCAAAATGTTGCTAGTTTTCGATCTACAGGGTGATTCATTATTTTTTTTATATTATTTTTAGGGATATATTGAAAACTACTTAACCAATTTAAGTAAAATTTGGTTTCTTGCTATTATTTAGTATGCTTAATAAGAAAATGATATTAGTTTTACCATTGACACTAGGTAGCGACAGCTATTATAACATTGTTTTTTAATGTGGCCATAATTTTTTGTTCACTCTGTATAAACATTCTAGATAAAAAAACATGAAATAACATTTAATTCTACTTAAAAAAGGTATTCTTGTTTTAAATTAAAAAAGTACACCGTTTTCGAAATAAAGGGATTTTGTTAATGATACTCTGGTCTGTATTTAATTTTTCGCACAACAAGCAGGTTCCTAGGTATGCTGTGAACTTAATGGCAAAATCAAGACGTAAGTACGAATTTGTTTACTATTTGTTGCCAAAGTGCAGTGCAAGTCTATTATTATAAAAAAAAAACTTGTGTACTTTGTACGTGGGCAAGAAGTTATACTTCTATTATATGATTTCAACGAAATAAATATATTTTAAACAGTTTATTTTTATTTAAAAACGTTTTATATAAATATTTAACTAATTTTAATACGTACACATTATTTAACTTAACCTGTTTTTGCATATGTATGTATGTAGAGCTTTAACAGGCCTTTTAGGCCTATTGCTGCATGGATAAATTCCATAGTTTTTTGTTCTTAGCTATTAGCTTTAAATTTTTGATTCCCATCTATCTGACATCTTCCATTACTACATCTCTCCATTTCTTTCTTGGTCTTTTCTCTTTTTTTTTTGCCCTGATATAGGTACTCCCCAAGCAATATTCTTGACTAGTCTATTACCTTGCATTCTTTCTAGATGTTCGAGCCATTTTAGTCTACATTTTTTCACCACTTTTGTTATTGTAGGGTTCGCATACAAATGGTACACTTCTGCATTGGTTCTTCTCCATTTTTCCTCTACTACTTTCCCATCTAACATTCGGCGAAGTATCTTTCTTTCTCATGCTTCCAATCTGTTTTGTTCATAGGTTATATTTGCCAGTTCTTTTCCATTTCGTGCAATGAGAACCACATCATCAGCGTACGGTAAGCATTGGTGTTCTTTGTATAAAATAGAGCCGGACCTATTTATCCCACTAATTCTTTTCATTTGTACGTTCATTTCAAGCAGTACGATCAGAGAATGACAGAGTGTTAATGACAGTGTTGTTTGAAAGACCAGATGGTAGAAGATCAGCAAGTCGACCGAGAAAAAGATGAAAGGATGATGTTGAAATCGATTTATCTAGAATTGGGGTACAACAATGGGAAACAGAAGCGCAAGATCTTAGAGAATGGAGGGCGATAGTGGTTGCGGCGAAGACTCAGTAAAGAAGAAAAAGAAGAAGAATCCCTTTCATTGTTTCTAGAACTGTATTAAATAGTAATGTATACAAAGGGTCTCCTTGGCGAACATCATCTTTTATTTGGTTAGTCTGTCTAATTTTCATTTGTTTGCCTTTTTTAAAATCACATCACGAAATTTAGGAGTGAAATTTGGGAGATTTATATATTTGTTAGGAGTGAAAAGGGAAATGTAACAGTGGCAATGTCTAAGAATGATTGCATTAAAAAAAGTAATAGTTTATTAAAAGACACAAAAAGTTACATCAAACTTAAGAGCAGTCCGGTGTGAACATTCCAACAAAAGGCGAACAATCTGGTTTTGGATTCAGTTTCTTTCAAATCCATAACAACAGAAGTTGCAAAATCCTTAAAAATTTACAATGCAGTTAGACCCAGGTTTTATACACTGCCTAAAGTTCACAAATCCACCATTTTATTAAGGTCTATTATCTCTTCCATTGATGCACCTAATAGTAAACTTGCTAAGCACCTTAGAGATATTATCACAATTTCCTACATCGAATCCAGTGAATTCTATATTAGAGATTCTTTCACGTTTGGTTACTTTATTAACAATGTTAAAGTTCCGAATAATTAAATATTGATTAGTTTAGATGTTGTGTCACTGTTTACACACTTACCACTAGATGCTATTCTTAACAGCATCAAAATGACACTCCATTGAGCAGCCAAATATCTCCCATACTATGTAACTTTGTTTTGGATGAACTTATAACAACGTGTAAAGAAAAGATACCTTTTTACATACCTTTTATTAAACGATATGTAGATGATTTGATTTTATCGGTCCCTGAAGATAAAATAACTGATGTTTTAACACCTTAGCGCCCAGTGTGAACACCTAAAGTGTACGGTTGAGAGAGGGGCTGATAATATGATTCCTTTTTTAGACATGCTTATCCAACGTGGCAATGAACTCATGCTATGCATGGAGTGGTATCGTAAACCTTGTTTTAGTAACCGTTTCATAAACTTTCATTCTCAACATCTACCTAAGATTAAAACAAATTTGGTTTTGGCCCTGAAAACTGGGGTTATCAACTTGTCACACTTCGAGTTCAGGAACAAGGGACTAAAAAAGTTAATATCTATACTACAAGAGAACTTCTATCTCATAGGGCTCTAAAATGAACTCAGTTCTCCGTTTTCTTCGCAATTTTCTTATAACCAATCCGACAATTGACATTCACACAACATATCAGTGATACGACAAAATACACCAACCCAACTACTATTTAAAATAACTTATGGTTGCCTACCTTACATTTCAGTTCTGACACCTAAGATAATGAACATTTTCAAAAATGTTACTTAAAAAGTGGCTTAAAAAATACAACTAAGAAGGTGAAAATGGTATCAAAGGTATACATAAAAACAAAAGATCCTTTCACAATATAGGAGTTATCGAATGTTGTTTATTCTATACCATGTACCAACTGTAACAACGTATATATTGAAGAATCATCTCGTAATTTTCACAGTAGGGTAATCTCACATCATAGCGACATAAAAACCAAACAAATAAAGGCTTGTGCACTCACAGAACATGCATTAACGTTGAAACATGACTTTAATTTCAAAGATTCCTATATTTGGACAAAAGAAAAAACCATTCAAAACGTGTTTTCTTGGAAATGTGTTTCATAGAATCTAAGACGTCTTGCAAGAATAAAAATATTCCAATTTTGAAGACATTGTTATTATTTTATTTTACTATTTATTATTATGTCTTTATTATTTGGGGCTAATTATTTTTCATTACTCTGATTAATTAACTGATTATTTCATTATTAAAAATATAATATTTTTTTTTTCGTGACTATATATTTTTTTCGTGATAAAACCCCATACTGCTTCTTTATCTTATTTCATTGATACGTAATTATTGAAACATTAACCCTGAAAATCTCTCACCAAATTAAAATTAAAATGCCAAAAGGTAATCTCAGAGTGTTTTTATAAAGTCATTTGAGACACGATAATATCAATTGAAATTATAGAGTATAGTTTATTGAACCTTGAGTGTAAAAAATTCAAGGTGGATTATGTAAACAATTAAAACTTATGAACTAACGATAGATGTATCCTTTACGAAAGATTATTATAATGTAATATAATCGATATATCTAGTTAAATATAAATACAAACTTCGAAACTTTTGATTGATACGAGGATTATTTGTATTGTTTTGAAGCTATTTCTTGTAACATCCTAATGTAATTATTAGGTAATTAATATTTTTATTGGGAATAAGCCATAATTTAAGTTTAAATTAAGTTTGTCGAGTTGCGATCCTGGGATGACTTTATTGTAAGATAGTTCAGTCGATTACATGACATCAAGTTCTTCTTATTCTTCTTCCTACTTTATAAATAGGTTTAATGCCTGTTTTACTTCGGTCTTTAGCCTTAAATTTCGAGAGCCTCGATTTTCTTGCATGTAGCGTCTGTGGGAGTCCACGACAACTCCGTACAATAGTATAGGAAAGATCATCGTAGTAACCTGATTTTTATGGCTACTGATAAATCGTGGCATTTGAATAGCTTAGCCATTTTAAAATGTAAATATTGCTTTCTCCATCCTAGATTTTATTTCCAGGAAATGGTTGCAATAATTCTCATTGACGTTCGTACCAAGGTAGGTGTATGTGTTTACTCTTTCTATTGGTTAGGCATTCATAATGATTCTTTTAATTTGCTGTTCATTCTTAGAGATTATAATACATTTTGTTTTCTTAGTGTTCAGTGAAAGTCCATATCTCTGACTCACTTCTTTGATTCTATCCGTCAACTCCTGGTAGGCTTTATAATTGTCAGCGAATACCACTGTGTCATCCGCCTGTTTGATGTTATTGATACATTCTCCATTAATTCGAATTCATGCTTTAACATCTTCGACTGCTTCTTGAAAAAATTCCTTATTTGTAGGTTAAACTTCTTCTTCGTCAAGTGCCGTCTCCATCAATGGAGGTTAGCGGTTATGGTAGCAAACGTTTGTCTATCTTCAGCTGCTCTTAAGAGTTCCTCAAATCCAAGTCCTGTCCAGTTTCTGATATTACGTAACCAGGACAATTTTTTTCTTCCAATTCCTCGCTTTCGTTCCATTTTGCCTTTTATTATCAACTGAGGGATGTAGTATTTCTCGTTGCGCAACAAATGCCCTAAATAACTGGTTTTTCTTCTTTTGGCCGTTCTCAATAGTTCTTTTTCTAAATTGAGTCTAGCTAGTACTTCTTCATTTGTTTTTCGTGCTGTCCAAGGAATTTTTAAAATTCTACGGTAGGTTAAACAGCAAGGGTGATAGTATACATCCTTGTCGGACACCACGTTTGATTTTGATATCATCGGATTCTCCTACCTCTGTACGGATAGACGATGTTTGATTTCAGTACAGATTGCTAATATTTCTTAGATCACAGCTGTTTATTCCAATATTTGTTAATATCTCCATCAGCTTGTCGTGTTTTACGGTATGAAATGCTTGATGGTAATCAATGAAGCATGCATATGTATTGCAATTCACATCTCTATATCATTGAAATAGTACTTGTATGCTAAAGAGATTCTCTCTCGTACCCGGCGCGTTCCGAAAACCAATTGCAGGATACGGATTTTGTTTTCTTTGATAGAGCAATAAACGTTGACTTCAGCCATGATCTTGGTATTACTCTGTTTAAATATATGTCATTGAATATTTTTGTTAGTCATTAATTACCGTCGGTGTTAAATAGCTTTATGAGTTCAGCATATGCATTGTCAGATCCAGGAGCTTTGCCATTTTTTAGTTGTGATATTACTTTTTTCACTTCATCTGATGTGATTGGTAAGTAGTTATTACATATGTAGGACGGAGGTTGTTCGGAATTATCAATAAAAATTTCTGGTATGCATTTGGTCGATTTTTTGAGTTTTAGCTGTGTTGGAAATGGAAGACCAGCTGCTTGTTTTACCTTTTTGTGCATATTAAATGTCTTGTGTTTTTGTTCCGACAACACTATCTCTTCTCACTGTGTTTTTAATTAATTTTCTTTGACCTTTCGTATTTTGATTCTTATTTGTCTCTGAATATGGTTGTTCATCCTTTCGCTATTCTTTGATTTTCTTTTTTCTTCCATGAGTTGCAGTATATTGTCATTCATATAACTTTTCATCTTTTCTTTATTTTTTTTTTAGATAATCTTCTATGATAAAAGTTTCACATACATGCTAGAGTAATTATTCTGCTGTAGGTCTAAAATGTCACCTTTTTTGTGCATTATGGTTATTATTGCATTATGCAATAATAGATATAAACTCAATAAACTCAATAGCTTGAGTTATGCATTCAGTGTTGTAATTTCTGATATCTTTTCGAATGGATTTCGTGATATCTTTGTTTAACTGTCTAAGCGTTACAAAATTATGTGTGTATTTGTCTTTCAATTCTCTTCTTTTGTTTATAAGCTCTTTAGTAGCTTGAGTGAGTTTATCCATCTTATGTTTTTCTTTTTCCTCTTTATGAGCGTTTCTAATCGCACTATTTATTTGCATGTTTATTATCTCTATATCTAATGCATTTTTATTTAGATGTTCT